TCAAACAGCCACTTGCAGCCACTCGAGTGATTTTGCAGTGATCGCTGGAGCAAGTGACGGCATGCGTTGCCTCTTCGGCAATAGTCTTTGTTCGCTCATGTTCATGGAAAGTATTATGTATTTGTCAGATTGCGGCAGAAAAACCGGCCACTCGATTGACCGCAAGTGACCGCACATGAGTGAGTGAGTGAGTGAGTGAGTGAGTGAGTGAGTAAGGAAGCAAGGAAGTAAATAAGCAAGCATACAGAACTATATACAGCGAACAAGACGAGTTTGAACGACAAGGCTGGAGTTCACGGCACTCGCACATAAGTGCCACGAGGAAGCAACTCATCCCATCACGACCAACAGTCGCCAGACTAGTTGGCCAAGACTAGCGCGCGCATTGCATTCAATGCTTCAAGATTGCAACCCAACCAACTCACTCCTGATTTTCCGTCACCCTGCTGAAAACCATGGAGCCTGCTCGAAACACATCGCGGTCTCTTGCAGCCACTCGAGTGGCTGCAAGTGTCTACTTGAAATCAAGGCACGCGTCGTTTGCCCGCTCCCTGATTTCTTTTTTCACAACCAGTTGGTGTTCATGTTGGAGGCCATCATCACCAACGTCTTCTTGTGCCCGGATGCTGACTGTGCTCACGAGACTCCGCGCGCCATCGCCGACTTCTCGCGTCGGGTCTCTTTGGAGCCCGGTGAGCAGACGCTCTACAAGTTTGACGTGGAGCTGCATGGCAAGGCTCAGAGACTTGGTAAGTTTGACGATGGAGGTCCTGCATTGCACCCCAACAATTTTGGTGAACAACTGTGTGTGTTGTTTTTTAAATCTTTTGATCAGATGTTCTTTCCATGGAGCGGAATCAGTGCAGCATTTCTCTTGCAGCCACTGCTGCTTTAGGAGTTGCAGGATTTAGCTCTTAGAATCAGTCTTAGAATGCTTTCCTAGCAGCTAACGGATGCTAACGGCCCTACAACGGTTCAAGTGAGGACCTATTCCATCACCATCCGCCGACTGACGGGCGAGGAGACCCAGTTGCGGCGCCTGATCGTGCAAGGCAGCGCCTTGGTGCCCAGCTTCAAGCCCTCGATCCGGCACTACCGGTGCCAACTGGAGGTGACCTTGGAGTATGGATTGTTGGAAGCCCATCTGGAAGACTCGGGGCAAACCATCCTAGCGGAGGCAGAGGTGCCCATCTTGGTGAAGAACTTCAGCGATGCGAAGTGGGAGAAGGAAGAGTTGCTTGGGGTGCCCATGAGACGCTTGGGGGAGGAACCCTATGGAGAGTTCCAATATCCTAAGAAGTACCTGGAGTTTCCGGTGCCCATGGGATCTCAGCGCAAGATCCGTTTCAAAGTCATCTCAGCCGATGGGGGGGGCACTTTGGCTACTACCAGCTAGACCTGGCAAGGCAGACATGCGGCACGGAACTGCCATTGTTCGATGTGCGCCAGAGTCGTTGCGTGCGCTTCTGTAACTTGGGCTACTGGGCAGACTTCCAGCAACGCCGCTGCAAGCGCTGCCCGGACCTGTGCGTGAGCTGCATCTCCAGCGAGGAATGCCTGAGTTGTCGCCATCCCACGATAGACATGCTCTACACGCTGGATTCCACAGGGCAATGTGTTGCTTCGGTGCGGCCCTTCTGGCAGAAGAATGCGGAACAGGCAGGGACCACAGTAGCAGTAGCAAGATTCGTGATGAGGTGGCAAAGGGGTGGAACTACTCCATTCTTCTGGTCCAAACTGTAGCTCTTGATAAGGCTTGAAGTTGCCATTCATTTCTTCTGGCGCCGAAAGCAAGTAGCAAAATTGTGCAACATTTGTTCATTCAGACAGATTATATACTTGCATGAAGGCCGTTGGTTGGTGGGTTTGTGGCTTCGCTTGGTCCCCGCTCACCTGATTGGTAGTGCTTTCGAAGAGTGCTGCATGGAGTCGTCAGGGACATTCTGACATGTGTCATGGGGGTCATGGTTGGGATCCCATGTTATGGAGTTACCCCCAAGCCGTAAAACAACAAGACCTACGATGAAATCGCTTGGGTTGGTTTTTGCCCATTTTGCACCATGTCTGGGTGTTGCTCCGCGCCAGCATTTTTGTTGTTTGGTTCTTGGTTGCCTCTACCTGGTAGGTGCTTGCGCCAGACCTTGTTTCTCACCCCCTGAGGCGGTCTCCATTGCGTTGAGCGCCTCAGCGCTGCTGATCTTCCTCTGCGGCCTGGTGTCCTTCGGCCTCGTCCGGGCCAAGGCACGCCGCCTCGCTGCCGAGAGCCGTGCGGAGAGCCGAGGCGCCCGCGGCCCGGAGCGCGGCACGGGCGGGCCGCGCGGGTACCGGTCGCTGCCCAACGAGGACTTGGACTTCTGAGGCGCCAGATGCCAAAGCTTGGAGTTCTCCATCTTGGGCCCAAAGCGATCCAAGAGGAAAAGTAGAGCGTCGCCTCTTCGTAGTTTGCTGCTTGGCAGTCTTCTGGATGGGTTGATGGAGAGAATGCACCGCTGAGGTATCGACTCCGGGATGGACACCTTGGAGGACGCGAACAAGGCTGGGGCCGGTGATATGAGGTCCACAGGGAATTGCCGGAGCGTCATGGAAGTGGAGAGAGGAGAACCCGGTCATCCCATGAGGGCATTGTCCACTTCCATGATAGTAGCTTCTTGCTCCTAGTGGCGATGCCCTTTGTTACTAGTAGCTTCTTGCTCCTATTTCACGGAGTGTAGTTTGGGCCCAGCTCACTCAGGCCCCTATTTTTGCCAAAGCTGACCGATCGACACTCTCATCATGTCAACCAAGATCGCCCTCACCAGGGTGGATGGCAGACACCAGGCAAAAGAGCAAATTCAGAGAAGATAGACACGTGAATGATGTGGGACTTGGACCAGGCATTTGCTGAACATTGTTTCTGTCCTTCAATATTTTTCACCTGCCAGCGGATGCGCCGAATAGGATTTGCAAATGCCCATAGGATTGCAGGAAAGGGCTGTTGAACTGATACTCACCGATCATACTGCAAAGCAAGCACGGGTTAATCCTGTGGTGTCCTGTTCTTCAGTGAGCAATGACCAGACGATAGCAACCATATAGTTGTCGATGGCACTAGCCACTATTGAAGGCGTGTTCGATTCATTGGTTGTGACAAGGGTTTCAAAGTAGAGGCTCAAGTCCTAAGTGGTTGGCTAGGAAAAAACCAACAGCGTTTGCCGCGAGATCGGTTCTCAGTCCGAGTGGGTAGTTCCAATCCCATCCCCGTTTGCTTTTTTAAAATCCGACTGATTTTCGGATTGGACTTCATTGGACTTCCTTAGGGCGCCCTTGGGACATTTGAGAGCCTGTATGATTTACTAGGGCCCGGATTCCAGCCACGTCGTGAATCTTTGACTGCCGCTCCGCATCACGTTACAGGAGAGAGAGGAAGGCGACTGGGCAAAGGGGACCTAAGACTGGCGGAGTATGATGATCCCTGGATAATTCAGCCACAGTAACAAGAAGCCACTAGTAACAATGTGCATCGCTGCCAGTAACAAGTGCATCGCTAGTAGCAGCTAATTTGCAGTTTCTGATGGCTTCTTCACGGACTTCTTTATGCATAGACTAGAGGAGAGTGCCAAGCTTGCAGGACGTGCAGAGGCGCATCTTGAATCGCTCGACCCCCATGTTAAATTGAAGGTGAATAGGTGAATACTTACTGTAGTCATGATGTTTCGCTTTTGCATCATGTTGGATGGTGAACCGTTTGCCACTGTCCACCAGAAAGTGGTGGAAGCGAGTGGGGCTACCGACCGCAGGGGCACCCGGTGGCCGATGATGGCAGGGGTGTTTTTTTGTGCAACTATGCAGGTGACCGTGGTGGTCATATTGGGCACTTATGCTCTGAGATGCCATACCTGGCATACCTCAAAACCTCGGGTGGCATACCTCTGGGGTCCCTTGGATCCACGACTTGCAGGAATGCATTGGGGTGTCGCTTCTCTGCCAGCCAGCTCAACCCAGTCAATTGGATGAAGGGATCCAATGATTGAATTATATATCAACACCAAGGACTACTAGCCAGGGCTCGTTTAAGGTACCAGTACCTTGGTGCGAACAACGTTCCACTTGCTTGAAATGGAGCCAGCCGTTGAGTTCAGCCCGGGATTGGCCAGTTGGGCGTCCCCTGAATTATTTGTTGTGTACCTTGTCAGCGAGATCATTTTGAGGGGATTCTTGGTGGATTCTTATGCGTAAGGTTCCACGTCCTATATGCTTTCTCTGGAGCTCCGACAAGAAACCGCCACAGATCCAGACATACATGGTGTTGCTGGCGTGATCCTGGGATGTCTCATGTGGACATGGCACCAAAATAGCTACTAGGAACAAGGACGCTACTAGGGGCTCCTGGCCTTACTACTAGTAGCTAGAAGCCACTAGGGGCTCCTGGCATCGCTACTAGGAGCAAGGACGCTACTAGGAGCTGTGGACATGTCTCATCTAGCTCTTCCGCTCTTCCGCACTCGCCCCTCCGGACTCAGGGCACGCCCCTTGGGCCGCATCTGGCGTTGCAAGAATGTGGAGGATCCGTTCAAGCGATGCTCGCAACGGGGCATCCCCTTGCAGGCGACCCATGGCACCAGGACACCCGGTGGGGGTTCCATCGGCGCGGCCGGGGAAAAGACTTGGGAGGGGGCGTTCTTTTCGGTTCCTGCAATGGGCTCCCCCTTTCTTCACCATCTTCGTTGGTGATTGATTTCGAAGATCGGGGAGTTTCTGAGATGTCAACAAGGATGGAAAGCACACCGAGAAACAAGCACCAAAGTAGGTTCGAAGCTCTTCCAATCTTCCTTAAGATCTCCCGCATGGACACCGAGGGCCGAAGGCGCGGAGCCGTGTCGCCGAGAGCCTCTCCGCCGTGGACCTCGCCGTGGTCACGACGGTGGACGTGCCAGGTGACGATCCCACATGAGATCAAAGTCCCGGAGGATGCCACCCACCTGGCCGCCGCGTCGGAAAACGAGGCGGGTGGCATCGGTCGGGTGGTGCAGAGATGAGAGAGATGGGACAGGAGTGGTGGGGTCTCTGATCATAGCTTCCAAGCATCCCGGAAAGGTACCCTCAACCTCGGCCTGAAGTGTGGATCAGTCTTAGGGCCTTAGGGACTTGAGGCCACAACGGTCACTGAGATGCTGATCATCTGAAAGCCCGCCGCTGCCTCGTTTCCGCCGGGGGCCTCGTCCCCGCAGCCCTGACGCATCCTTCTTCCCGGCGGCCGATAAACAAGTCAACGGACTCGAACCGACTGGAGCCATGTGGCGGTTTCTGAGGGCTGCCGTGCCTGCTGCGCGCCAGAAAGCGCAGCTGGTCCAGGAACGAGCTGCGCAGACGAGCGCCAGCGGAGCCAGGGGAAGGAAGCCATGGAAGGAGGCGCTCGGGTTCTGAAAACAGGCCCGAAGGCTCTCAAATAGCGATGCGGCGATGAGTAAAAAGAGATAAACAGAGAGAAGCTCCAACCGCAAGCCGCAAGCCCTCCAAAATCGAAACGACAGCCAACAAAAAGCGTCCATCTTCCAGATGAGCGGGTCGCCCATTGCCTTCTTCCGACTACTTCCGCCCAGGGTCTCCGGCGGAAGATGCTGGAGCCACGCATTCCGCTTCGGCGAGTCGAGGAGCTGATTGCCACATTGCACCCAGAGCAACGGGCAGTGGTGGCATGGCAGGAAGGTAGTGGGCCAGAAGTGAGACATCAAAACGATTCAAAACGGCATTGCCTGCTGTTTTGATTTGTTTTGGTAAGTTGTGTGGTAAGTGACCCTCGGAATCCTGGTTGGTGGTTGGAAGGATTGGTTTTCAAGCTTTTTCTGAGACCTTTGGTCCCAATAACACACGAGTTTCAACCAGCCGATGTCACACGTGATGCGGTGTGGTTCTTGGGGTGTGGTTCTTGGGGCCTCAGAAGCCCGAAGAACCATGTGGACCACAGCCTCAAGCGATCGATCGATTCGGGGGGCACTGTGCCCCTTGTAGCCTGTTGTGATCCATCCAGCTAGTGTAGTGTTACTATATAACATATGTATAATATATTTATAGGTATATACTTATATAGACATATGCCAACACACACACACACATATATATATAGATAGATATATGCCAATCTCTCTCTCTCTCTATGTATGTACTATATGCATGACTATATGTTTGCTTTTTTACTTTTGCAATTTGGATCTATTGCTCAGATTTCCCCCGTAGTCCATGGCCTTGTCGTGACCTAAACGATTTGCATCATTTTGCATCGACCGAGAGCAGCGACCTCGCAGCTCAGAAGTTTGCAGCTTGAACTGTTTTTCGGGTTTTAAAGGTCAAGCTGGTTTGCTGGTGTCAGGTGGATCTGGCCTTGGATGGCCAGAACATCTTTCTGACTGGCCTGCCTGGGAGTGGGAAGAGCTATGTCTTGAAGCAGCTGGTGCAGCTTTTGCAGCATCGGGATGGTCTCCCCTCTGTGGGAGTCACTGCATCCACGGGCGTGGCGGGAATTCACGTGCAGGGGAGCACCATCCACTCCTTCCTGGGCTGTGGGCGCGCAGAGAGCCAGAAGGATGGGAGACGGGAGGTGTACCGGGTGTGGTTGGCATCACAACTCACATGGCGTCACTCCAAAAAGGGCCGCTTGACCAATCTATACACACCCGGTGCTATTTTTGTATATGCCCAAGTGTGGGCCTTTGCCAATGACATAGCTCTTGAAGAGACATGCTCTTTGGACAGTCCAAGAGCACAGCCAGGACTGGGAGGAGGCAGCAGAGAACCCGAAAGTGCATGAAAGACTTGGTGCTTTGAAGACCTTGGTGATCGACGAGGTGGGCGTATTCTTGGATGTGCTGCTCACTCACCTCACCTCTTTCCTCTTTTCCCTGGGCATGCATGTTCATGTGGGCTTCACCGCTTTGTTGAAACCCATTTCAAAAACCATTCCAGTTTCGGGCAGTGGCCCTTTTTGTGCCTCTGAGCCTTTGTCCGTCAGGTGAGCATGCTTTCGGGAGAGTTCCTGGATCGGGCCAACGAGCTGATCTGCCGAGTGCGAGGTGGGAAGGTCTTCGGGGGTTTGCAGGTGATCTTCTGCGGAGACTTCTTGCAGCTGCCCCCGATGAAGCGTGAGGTGCCTTAGCACGGGCGGCTGCAAGCGCGGCTCGCGGTTCATGGCTGAAAACGAAGCGAAGCGGCTTGGGATTAGGGGCTTTGAGTCACTCTTGTTGGCAGATTCAGTAATCGTCCTGGCAGGCTTGGGCATCATGTCATCCAAATAATGTGAAAGATTAAGCCAAGGGCCAGCTTGATCTCCACTTGTGCACCGTCCCCTGGAGTCCTGGAGGTCATGGCCTTTGAGGCAAATGCATGGTCGGAGCTGCAGTTGAAGTGCATCACTTTGCAGCAGAAGCTTGGAAGCGCTGCATTGGTGTCTGGATGTGTCTGGCGCGGCGCGGGGGGAAAAACATCGGAATTTCCCAGCGCCACAAAAGCGCCACAAAGTTGCTTCCAGAAGAGTTCCAGAAGCGCTGATTGGATCTGTGGATGCGGAATAGGAAGGGGGTTTGCAGACTGAAGTTTAGTGGATGGAATTCTTCTGAGAGGCGCAGGGGTTTGGCCCTGACTTTGTGAGGAGCGTGATAGAATTGCAGGTGTCTTTGGCATCTCCTGTTCACCTCGGTCCGCTTCTTGCATCGGCCTGTGGCACACGAAGAGGCAATGATAACCCCCAAGTTTGATGGATGAACACCAAGGGTATCCTGAGAAGTCCGTTGAATTCTGCTTTTCTAGCAAATCCATTCCCTTATTCTATGCCGACTCACTCACATCCTGTTCAGAACATGTCCCCCCCCGGTTGGGTTTCCAAGGGCCAACCCACATCCCCAGCTCGCGCTATGTCAAAACATGCTTCAGTCCCAGAATGGGTAATTTAAGGGAAAACCTACAGGAAACCATAGTTTGGGGGGTGAAAGTGAAAGAAAGGGTTTCCTGTAGATTTTCCCTTACACCGATTCATTGCTTCAGGAACCATCGCCACTTTGATGATCGCTTGCGCACTCTCCTTTGTCAACTGCGCTCCGGCCCCTCCTCCGCGCCGTCGGCCGCGCTGCGGGCACTGAAGACACCGGAGGAGGAGGTGGGAGATGGTGGGAGGGAGTCCGAGGTTCCACAGAAGGCATCCTCCCCAATACATGTGATGTGGGCAGCCTTAGAAGCAACATGATCTGCCAGAAATGATTCAATAGTGGTGAATCCTTTTGGCAGGTGAGGGACGCCTGTCAGTATTCTCAAAGCTTGGGCGGTGCCACAGCGCGACACGAGAATCAGATGACCAAAAATAGCTCTCCCGGAATATCCTGAATTCTACGACCCTTCACGGTGCGTGCGGCAGTTCATCAATCAAGAGTCTACATGATCATTATGCGCATTCCTTTAAAGAACTATGTCTGTAAGTTTACTTGGGTCCATGTTAACCTATGAGGCTACACCACATCTTCCACACCGCGCCAAGAGGCTTCAATTTCTGGACTCGAGGAGTGGGGGTTGGTTGATGTGAATGTCCATGTCGAAGGGATCCTCCACCCATGTATCTCTCTCTTTCGGGGGGCGGGATGTGGATCAAGAGGATGATGTTCCGAACGTGTGCTCTCCAAGTCAATTGGCACCATGCAAGGGGTCTCCTCCGGGGTGTTCTGAATCCATAAGGGTTTCGAACAGCGCCGAACTGTGGACCCGAAAGAGCCTTGCTCCAGTCTTTTGATCTCGGATCCTCCAAAAAGAGCCTACCCTTTTCGGCAGGAAGCCATGGCCTACCCGACGATCGTGAGCACCAACAAAGAAGCTCAGGCCGAGAACCAACGACGCCTGGAGGCCTTGCCAGGTGGGGCCTGGAGGCCTTGCCCATCATTAAGCCCATTAGCGATGAAACAAACACTGCGAGCCATGTGCCATCCCTGCTTCCCCTCTTATCCCATCTATCCCTGGCGAGTGGTGACAAGCCGAAATGCAGGCGTTTTTTTCAACATTTGTTCTTCAAGGGACTTAGACAGAGATGTTTAAATTGTGCCTCCTTCGACATCTCAGCAACTTGGCAAGCTTTGCCTATCTTCCCAATACAACAGTTTACCACTGCCAAGTCCTTTGGAGCATTTTCCTCTTCTGTTTCCACCATTGAACAACTGTCCAGCAGGTGACGAGCATGCCTACGAGGCAACGGATTCGTTCGAGCTGCCGGGGAGCACGGCACGGCAAGCACTGCAGCATGGTCGCTTTGAGAAGCTCTTGAAGCTGAAAGTGGGCGCTGTGGTGGGGCCACCCAGCGTGGGCAGAGAGGAGTGGTTGCTGGTGGTGGATGAGTGGCCCATGAATTGGAGTGCCCTACGTAGCAAGTGGCCTCCCACAAACCAGTTTGTCTATAAATCTATAAGTGTGTGTAAGTAAGTGTGTGTGTGTGTAACCCTTGGAATCATAGGGATCCTTTCGGATTGTTTTAGCTTCACAGTTGTTTTCCTTGTGCAGCAGGGGGACATGGCGTACAATCAGGGACCATGTCCAACGAAGCTACCTGATTGTACGGGAAATGAGAGCTGATCACTCTCACGTACCTGCTTTGAGTTTTTCCGTGCATGGCCACTGGGCTAAGCCGAGAACCCAGCTAGTTTCTACCCTTAGTAAAGGGCTAGTGAGTTCCGCAGACATGCACGTTACGCCGTCACCCCGTCGGTCCGTTTTCGAAGTCCTCCAGGTTCCCGTGGTTCGTACTGGCACCCTTAGGAAATGGAACCCTAGGCCGGCGTGTGGCACCGCTTTCAGTTCAGTACACCCTATCCTAAGTGTGT